CGTGTCTCGTGTGAAAAAGTCCGGGCGTAACGAGCCAAACACCACATCCAAAATATTGGAACACCCCGCATGCATGGGCCTGACGACGAGGAATATCGTTATTTCACCGTCAGAAATATTGAGCGCGCCAGCGCAACACGTAATTTTGATATTCCAATGTAAAGCCGTGCGCAAAGTTGGTGATCAAAATGTGTTTGTATGTACAACAGATCATATGTGTTTGAGAAATCCAGTCCAAACATCTTGTAAGGCAGCATACATGGCAAATGACGATGCGACTTAACTTAGCCTTATCTCCTAAAAGCATACCATGCAACTTTGAAATGAATTGCTTTGCGCGGAATTATTCGAGCAAGCTTCGTGTAATGTGCGAAAGACACCTGTCTCTACTCTTAACCTGAAAAACCTGCCACTTCCTTTTAAAACCATGGTTGGAATATACCGGATATAGTGGGTCGTTCGCGTACCCGAATATACCACACCAAACTAACCTGCTCTAAAGTTGACAGTGATGGGAAATCGTTGCTACGTTGCATGTCGATCTTTCAAGGCAAAAGTCGACGTATAATGTGTGTACCAAGATTTTATACGTTACTGACGTTGATTATAAAGGAATCGGTAGTGGTGAATGCATCCATGTTGATTGTATTAGTTATTTGTCCGAAAAAGCAATTATAAAATTAACGAGAAGAGTCTATAGATAGGATGTTAATGACCAAATGGCTCCAGCACACAAAGAACAATCTACACAGATTATAATCGGCTATTACAATACTTGCGCGACCTAAAACCTACGGCTTGTAAAATGGACCCCAGATGGGAAAGAATTGGTCCATAGTATCTAGTATATTGTTCAATCTCCTATGTGGCTATCACGCCGCAAATAAACTAATGCATATATACTGTCCACCAAGAATGTTGCCGAGCGCATGCACCGACTTCATTAATCAGAAGTTGGTCGTGCGATCCGCAAATTACTTGAAAGAGAACAAGGACGCTAAGGTTTGGCTGAGACAAAAAATGACAGTGGTATAATAAATGATTGAATGGCATGATCATAGGCGTATCAAGATGAAACAAAAATCACTTTGTACTGTCCACATGGAAATGCAATAATATCAACCTACATGCTGATCGTAATTCAGGATGCATGATCTACATCCAGATTTGTATCTCGGCGTTGTATACTCATGACGCTGGAGTTCTTCAATCAAGCGACAATACACAGGCTGTGAAACGAAGAGGTTTCAACATGCACTAAATACACTGGTGCTCAGCTCAATGTTATACAAGAATTTTAAGATAAAGACAATGAAGATCACCTACAGAATGAAAAAGACGGTAGCGCAAATGGTCTAACAAAGGCACTTAAAGCTGTCTGGATCGTGACTTCAATATGCTGTGCTCGCTATATCATTTCAATCGAATATTTTTCGGTAAAGATCATCAGACTAATTCAAGACTGTGATAGGGAGTAGTTTATAGAAAAGACCTTGTAATCACCAGATTTTCAACTCTATACATGGATGCCATACCAACGCAGACAGTGCATTTGAGATTAAAACGCTAATAAATTAATAAATGCTAGGTAGACTATGATGAGGACAGATGTTTGGGCTAACATGCTCAGCTAACCTGCTCGTATTTGTCTTTCACCTACATTTACGGTGGTATTTATCTTAATCGTGCTAGCAAATTTCGTTTATTATTTCTCTATAACCTCGAGACATTATTAATTGTACTTAGAAACGCTGAACGCATTGCAATATCTACAAGATTGGCAATAAGAACATCTAGACCCGCACATAGTCGATGAAGCAAGATTACAAAGATTCGAACCAACCAAAATCTTCATCCTCAATAGTCATCATAGCCTATTGTTATTATGTTGTTTCTTCTGTCTCAAATCATGCTACATTCTATAATTTTTCAGTTTTGCATAGATATGTGAGCGTAGTAAGTGGGGAGTGCATATAGAAATCCCAGGGACATATTTTTGATAAGCGGTAGAGGCTTGATGTTATTGTGTAAAGTTCGTGGTTAAATAAAAGATATCATAACTGAATTGATTCAAGCATGAAATAAGGTGTTGTTTGTTTCTACTACAGATAGATACAATGTCAAGTCCTTCGATAGATATGCTGTGTTTCGTTGAACAGCCATATATATAAAAAGATCGTGTTAAAGATTAATGGATATGTCCAATGAACGTCAATCTACAACAAAAAAGTGTGCTTGATCCCGCATCGCTTCACACATATACGAACAGCGTTTTTAAGGCAGTACACGACTATAATGCCGTCTGAGAAAAAGACATGTGGACATTGAAACGATGGAAGTACACCAATATCATTTCTACCCGCTTAACATATTTGGTACATCCCGTACATTCTTCCAGACAGAATAGACCTGTAAGCACTTCTTCGTGGTCTTCAACAAAATCCACATCGCCACATTGTTATGAAGAACGTGCCAAAGGAAAGTTGCACCAGCCAAGTCCTCGAAAGACAGGGGACTTGATATCGCTAATCGACTGGCTTCAGCGGACACGATCAAGATCACGAAACGTGTCGTCATTTGATGAATGCTGCATTTTTATCTACTCCCATAGAGAATTTGTTCACGTGGGAAGAAACGGCTCCAAACTGGCTTGCTTAGTAAAATCAAACGAGTAGATGGACTGTTGGGAGTAAAATTTGTACTTATATCGGCTTGTAATTCTCTATCTACGCAAGGTCATATATATAATGTTTCATGTATTAGGTTGTAAAGTTAGGGAATGACATAAATATGGGCCAGGTTGTAATCACCTGCAAAATAACAAGCCACTGAAAGCACTTGGAGGGGGGGCGCGAAACGCGTCTAGCGAGCGTTTAAGAAAACTCATTATTAACGCATTTTTAATTTGTACAAATTCTGACCAAAATCAAGTAACACCTCATTTGAAGCGGAGCTATAGGAGCCCATTTACCAGATAAGTGCTTTCAAGTTCAACGAGCCACCTTTTTCAACACAAGAACACGACTCAACGAGTTTACTTTGCTCACTGAGCTTCAGTCGTAGTTTAAAGAAACAAATATGAGTCAGGGAATTACAGCACAAATTCTTATGGAAATATGCATTATCAAGGCTTTTACACTAGTGACCTACGACTTCTTGAAAAGACACGTATTTTACATGGACCATAATCTGTACTTGTTGCTTATATAATTTTGGGAAACATTAACCACCTCCAGGTTTTCGTTAACCACCCCCACCTCTATATATTGCCGTAATTTACTCGAATTACGCCTTCTGATTGGTAGGATCTAGAATATTACCGGTCTCAGGAGTAATGTACAATCTCATTTACAAATAATAAAATAATAAATTTGAACAATCTATGCACGTCGTTAAGTCGGCGACGTGTGGTAATTTATTATTTAGCTACTTCATTTGATCGAGTAATGGCTCGGTCAAATGAGGCTTTTATAATAGCGATTCTGGAACAGGTTGGGCTTGTAGCGATTATCCTGCATGGACACTGTCACAAAGGCATCCAACAATACTACGTTCAAAATTGACTTCAAGCCAGCCGCAGAAGTCTATCAAGAGGTACATCAATCGTCGCAATACCTGTTCAATTGGCCAAACAGACTAACGTGTAATTTAATGGTGGTAGTGGCTCGACGTGGCGTCTGAAAAGAGCCAGACTGGGCTTTCCTCGACAAGATTTCCCCGAATAGACAGTCTGCATCCGCTAGGCACTACGATTGACTTCTTTTCGATTCAAATGGAGATCGGCCGCAGTTATGACGCCACTACCCCTCGTCGTTGTGCACAATGCAGTCAAGTGACTGGTCCAAGCCGATCAACATGACAGCAGTGATCACCGGCATCAACGAGGATGGTTCACTGAGCCGTACAAGCTCCGTCGTTTGCGGCACGAACGTTGTTTTTATGGAAATATTTGCTTAGTTGTTGAATACCGCTACGAACAAGGTTCTTGCCGAGTACTTTTACACTCACGGATACAGTGATAAATCTAACTCATATTGATGGTCTTGTTGGTTCAGATGGGGGCACAAGCCGTGGCAAGCATAAACACGGAAAGTATATAAATTACGGTAATATATAGGGGTGGGGTGGTTAACGAAACCCTGTGGGGTGGTTACCGTTTTCCTTACTTTTTATCGATAGTAAAAATCTCGCCCTTTTATTAATATTATAATTTTAACCTTGAAAAAGAGCATACCTGAAAACGCACCATTGGTGATAAAGCGACATTGATAAAAATGAGTGGTTTATCACAGGGTACGCGTACCAAGCCCACATGTTTACAGCTTACAGTATTTTTAAACGTTTCATCATCGCACAGCTAAACAGGAGACGAAACAGACATCCGTTCGATCCAACGTCCGTTCGATCCGATCCGGTCTCCGCTCGATCCAACGTCCGTTCGATCCGATCCGGTCTCCGTTCGATCGGATATGCGCTTGATTCGTGCACCCATTGGTGGTTGTCCAACAACCTTTATTGAAATATGAAACTTGCATGATGTGTACGTGTGCTGTGTGGAGCTCTTTTGTCGGCATTTATATTCCAGACCTCCTGCAGATTCGTGACGTACCAGCTGTCGCGGCCGAGCTTGATGACACGGACAATATCGAGATGAGTCGTATGTCCGCGGGAAAGAGCATTGTAGAAAGCTATCGAACCGCGAAACAGGACCTGAGACTGCAAGGCATGCACACGTACGTGCATTACCACTGTATGGAGCAACACAATAACACGAAATGCACTTCCAACAAGGTAGCTTCACAGACTGCGTCAGATCTTGCACCTCTCAGTCTTCACACTTGACGTCATACTACTACCATCACGTGCAGACGAACCACTTTCTCTCGATGAAAGACATACCATTGATTCGGACCATGTTACGCTACTTGTACAATACGACAAACACGATGTTCGCTTCCGTGCCACTCTCAACACATACTGTGAGTCCGTGGTCAAGGACTTCAGCGCTCGTTGATGTGCACGTCACTCGTCGTGTACTGACAGAGCTTACCCGACGGCCCGTCGCCCAGATTGGATGGCTTGCTGCCGCCCTGTGACCATTGGCACACCTTGACGCTTGACCCGCTGGTCGTCGTCTTCACACGAATGTTTTTCAGTATGGCTTGGTCGTTGTAGTTCTTGTTCACCGTGACGACGCTCACCAACGGATCGAGAGCGTACACGTTCTCCATAATGACTTTGCGAGCGATGTTTCCGCACGTGCCACACGATCGGTAGAGCTTGCCGAAGTCCTGGGCGAAGAAGCCTATGATCTTGACCGTTCCCTGGCCGTTGTGCTGCACCACTTTGTCTTCGGCGTGGCGCGCTCCGCAGTTGGTGATGGTGGTCACGCTGGACGCTGATCCGCCCTTGATACTCAGCGCGTCCTCGCACACGTCGTCCCACCACACGTTGTCAATCTTGCATTCATGCTGGTTGCAATGCACCCCTTCTTTCTGGTTCTTTCCGATGATGGCGTTCTTCAAAGTACCACCGGCCTCTACGATGAATACGGCCGAGTCCTTCTGACCCTCTCCACCCGAACACTTGACGTTCGAGCGCTCGTACGTCTTCATCTGGCCGTCGAAGACCTGGCCAGCCTTGATCACGTACGGCGCGCTGTACAGGACGGAGCCCTTGCTGGCGGGCCACGTGCCGTCCGGAACCGACCCGGTCGACTTGGTGGACTTGGTGGACTTGGCTGGCGTGGTCGACTTGGAGGACTTGGAGGACTTGGTGGACTTGGTCGACTTGGTCGACTTGGTGGACTTGGTGGCCTTACCGTCAACGTCGTCATCTCCGGCGGGGGAAACCTTCGCTAACGGCGTCTTGGTCGTGGTACCCTTTGACTTCTTGACGGTCTTTTTGTCTTTTTTCGACCGAAGAGACGGCGTGGCATTTCTCTCGTCACTGCTCTCGTCCTCCTCGATCGATCGCTGCTCGGATGACTGCAAGTTGTCGTACAAGCTGGTCGAAGGATGCTCAGTGCTGCTCTTATTGAGCACAGTGTGCTTTCTGGCAGATAACGATCCATCGGGCGAGGGGGCGGCAGTTGCGACCGCAAGAAGCAGCAGCACCGACGTTGCGAGGGATCCGAAGGAGCTGAGCATCGTGGATCAGCGCAATGCAATGTGGCGGCTTTTGGCGTGCTATCGGGTCGTGGCTGGAGGGCAAATGGATGAATGAAGACGAGGTGGCAGTGCTGCGAGTCGTTCACGGCGATGCCGCCAGAGCGACCACACGACGATCCACGGTCGCTTGTTTTCATACGGTGGATGCGAAGGCAGCGTCGAGACGTCAGTCGCAAGTGCTTGAAGCTGCAAGAACATTTGTTTTCGTAAAGGCATGCTGCAGCTCGGAAGTTGACCGCTCGGTCCTTGTTGGCACGAAGACATACGTTGTGGAACGAGCGTGCTGACAAGTGGACGTTTTCGAGTGGGACCGTTGGCTTCAATTTGCAGAGCGCTCATCGTTTGACGGCGTACTCGGATTTGCAGCCGACCTGTCAGGAACGTAGCTATTGTTGATGTGTGCACTGTCAATGCACGGTCAACAAAGCCAACTGTGATTTGCTACGCACAAGTGACAAGACAGCGATGATACGACAGGGTGTAAACGGTTCACGTGCAGTCTGATGATTCTAGAACTACCTTGAGTGTATGTTCTAGAATCCATCAAGATCAGGGAAAGCTACAAGGTAGAAGAAGATAACACGACGAGTAAGTTCATAGGAAAACTAATTCAATACACTTTCCAATTTTCCTTCGACATAACAGGTTATGAGCCCAAAAGCTTAAGGAACTCTGCCAGAAGCCAGTACGATGAAGAAACCCGATGACCTGCTTGGAACAGACAACTACTTCCATTGGGAATTCAATATGAAGATGACACTTGCGAGGAAGGGCCTGCTAGAGCACATCTTGGAAGTGAAGTTGGAGCAGGAGATGACGGAGGATTGGAAGGTCAAGGACATGAAGGCGTTTGCTATTATTGCTCAAGGGATCGAAGTAAAGCATCAGACGAAGATCCGACATGCTCGCACTGCGAAGGAAGTATGGGAAACACTACGCGACTACTACAACAAGACAAACCTTCAGAATCGAGTGGCACTGACACGTCGATTGCACGAATTTCGTATGGATGAGGGAGGCGACATGGTGAGCCACCTCGACCGCTTCGATGAACTTGTTTTGAGTATGGAGGCGGTGGGCGATACCATGGACGACGCACGCCAGATGACAGTTCTGCTGAGTAGCTTACCGGCAGAGTACGAGATGATTGTGTCCATCATTGAGAATTCCATGGGTGTGACGATGGTGGATGTGAAAGAAAAGCTGTTGAAAGAACACAAGAAGAAGCAGCAGCAAGAGGTCTCCGAAGGAGCTTTCCGCGTTGGTCGTGGAGGCCATAAACAGGATCGTGGTCGTGGAATGCGCAAACAACGTGGTGCAGAAGAGAGCTGGAAGAAGAAACAGCCGTTTCGTGGGAAGTGTCACCGCTGTAACAAGATCGGTCACAAGCAGTTTGAGTGCCGATCTGCCACCAAGAATGATGGAAATGAAATGGCATTCACGGCCACAAACGGATTAAAAAAAGGATGGTTGTTGGACAGCGGCGCCTCGTCACATATGACCCCAGCCGAAGAAGATTTCTTTGAGTACGAGAAATTGAGAGAAGCCATTCAAGTTCGCGTTGCCGATGGTGCGGTCATGAATGCAATTGGACGAGGAAGCATTCGATTTCGCTGTACGAATGGTACAGCAGTGACTGTGAATGAAGTATTGCACATTCCAACGCTGGACAGACGACTACTAGCGGTGCCCAAGATCGTCCAGCGTGGGTACAACGTTCGATTCGGTGAAAAATACTGCGGTATCTACAAGGATAATGTGTTGATGATTTCTGCGAAGCGCATGAGAAGCGTGTACACTCTTGATGTGGAGTATGAGCACGC